CCCAGCAGTTAACGGCCTCTGAGGAGCTGGGCTGCATAGCACCAGCACCTGAGCTCCACCCCCGTGCCTCCCCACCCCATGGAAAAATTGTGTTCCTTGAAGCTGGTCCCTGGTGCCAAAAAGATCGGGGACCCCTGCTCTAGACTGTTCTCTACATTCTGCCATGGCGGCATTTCTGAAGTTAAAATCAGATCCTATCCATCCTCCATTCATAACCCTCAAGTGCTCCCAAGCCCTCCAGAGAAGAGCCAGCCTCCGTATCATGGCAAATCTGTCTTCACCAAGGCCCTGCTTCCTCTCCAGCTTCCTTTCTCACCACTCCCTATGTCATACCCCATGCCTAGCCAACATTATTTGATCATTGTCACCTTCTCCCAAACTCAGCATGATGTTTTCTCTGCCCAGACACCCCAGTCCTCAGAACTCTCCCACCTTTTTGTCTGTCTGCTGACTCCTCTATGTGGCCAGGTCCCCACTTGAATGTCAGTTCCTCCAGAAATCTTTCCCTGACCAACTCACCACCCACCAAACGTCCAGGTCTGAGTTTAGTTCTATTTCTAACACCTGATGATCCCCGTCACGTTACCACGCACCTGCGTTATTGTGTGGGACCGTAAAGTTCCACGAAGGTGGAGTTTACCGTGTAACATGGTAACGTGCAGACATGATACAATCCCTGGCTCAGTAAGTATCTATGGAATGAATGAATGGCTGAAACGACATGTGGCCAGCGTGCAGTCCAGCTGAAGTAGGGACGGGTCATTGTAAAGAAGGTTATAAAGGTTGGCACCTGTGGCTCAAGGAGTAGGGCGCCGGCCTCATATACCAGAGGTGGTGGGTTCAAACCCGGACCCAGCCAAAAACTGCAAAAAAAAAAAAAAAGGTCATAAAACTAAGTGCACATAGTGCACTTTCAAGACTATTGCTGAAAGAGATGTGAGACATAAAATATGATCACATGATGATCATAACCTGGAACTGAAGCTCCTGATGTCATAGAAGAGCAGGGTAAGAGAGAGATGAGACAACGTAATGGTACATCTGTGACACAGAAGTACTGGCCAGATGTTTAGAGAAGACCATCGGTTAATACTTTTTATTTTGTAGGTAACCACTAGTAGAATTTTAAAGAAAACCCTACCAAAATATAGAAGATGAATGCAAAGAAAGTGTGCAAACTATATAATAAAGCCATCTTCCCAACTATTAAAAAATAGACATGTTCTCAGGTAGTTTTACTAAGCTCACATACAGTGATACTAAAGCCTGGCAAAAATAGTTCAAAAAACAATAAAAGCCATATTTAGTTATTAAAAGAATCAAAAATCTTAGCCAATTAAATTTTGTGTCATATGTAATAATTATATTTATGTGCATATATAATATACAAATTGTATTTTTAATTTATGATATCTAAGATACGTAGAAGAATGGCCAAATAGGGTCTGTTTAATGAAGGCAAAAATGGGTCAATATTGGAAAATCTTTATGTATCTTTTTGACTTGATTAGAAAAAGGCAAAAAATAAAATCCTAAACTTTGTGGTAACCTAGGGATTGAAGGATATTTCCTCAGATAGATATAGACATAGTATCTGAAACTAATATCCAAAATTATGTTTAAAGAAAAAACATTAATGATATTTTAATGCTATTAAAATTAGGAATAAGATGATTATGTTTGCTATTAATGTCGTTATTTAACATTGAACTTAAAAGCTCCAAAGTAATAAGATAAGAAATATTAAAATTTGCCTGTAGTCCCAGCTACTTGGGAGGCTGGGGCAATAGAATCGCTTATGCCCAAGAGTTTGAGGTTGCTGCAAACTGTGAGGCCATGGCACTCTACCGAGGACAACATAATGAGTCTCTGGCTCAAAAAAAAATAAAATAAAATAAAATAAAATTGATGAAAACACAGCATTGTTTGCAAAATAATTACCTATCTAAAACGTAAAATTAATAAAGTATGCATATAAATCAGTGGGGGAAAAAAGAACACACCAGGAGAAAAATGATCAAAATATATAACTTAGTAATTCATGAAGGAAGAAAAACAAATGGTCAACCACAACAAACGTAAATATCCTGTATTGTCCCTATAAAATTTAATTAGTGAGATACTTTGGATAGGGAGAAAGAGGCCTCTCATTCAATTTTTCAAAAAGTATATCAATTTATGCATACGCAATTTGGCAGTATATTTGGAAAACCTTAAAATGTACATACTCTTGGACCTTGTAATTTTATTTCCAGGAATTCAAGTAAATATTTAAATAAGAATAAATAAATAAATAAGAGTCGTTGGAGACAGAAAGAAATGGAATGATGTTCAAGGCTGTCAACTATTATCAAAAAATAACCTATAGTAGTTAATTCATCGAACACACAGTACCTTCATAATTTAAAGTATGACCACTAAAATGATCTTGAAGTGCTCGTTTTGTAATTGTTTACAATGTATTTTGAGTAGAAAAAAATCAAATTTCAAAATTATATGCAAAGCACTTACCCATTTTTGTTATATACTATATATTGATTTTGTCTAATTGCATAAAAATTAGCATACACAACAGTAGTTATTTCTGAACAAAGAAATAGTAGTTATCTCTGAACAGAGAATTTTTTATTTTATGTTTTATATTTAAAAGATGTGAAACTGTGAAGAAGGGAGACATGTGGCGAGTGAGCAGCCGTGTATGTGATTTGAATACCCCCTTTCCTTGACTTCATGTTTGGAGAGGGGCTGGTGCGATCTGGGCTCAGCCATAGGCTCCTGTCATCCTCTGCTGCAGATACATGGTGGCTGGTTTTAGAAATTTTCCATAACCTCGACTCTCTGCACCAAGAAATAGAAAAACAATTGGCAAATGATAGACTTTAAAAAGAGGCTGGGCACATTGTGGTGAGTGCCTACAGTCCCAGCTACTTGGGAGGCTGAGGCAAGAGGATCACTTGAACCCAAAAGTTTGAGGTCGCTGTGAGCTAAGATGCCATGGCACTCTACCAAGGGTAACCAAGTGAGACTCTATCTCAATAAATAAATAAACAAACAAATTAACCAACAAACAAATTAATAAAAAAGATGTTAGACATCAGTAGTCATTAGTGAA